GGTAGGGCAGGGGAGGGTTAAGAGAGAGATAGGTGGAAAGAAATGAAGAGGGAAGGGTGAGATGGATAGTAGAGGGTGAGGGGAGATGGGATGGAGAAGAAGGTTGAGAGTAAGAAAGTGAGTGCTGTCCCAAACAATAAATAATGAAAATAAGCAAGTATTATTTTCAAAGATAAACCACAATACCCTCCTCCCCTTCCTGGACAGCATATAGACTTGCAAACATTTAAAAAATACTGTCTTTTCTAACGGCATTAAACATATCAAACCGAACCATTGTGCTGCACATTGTCACAGTGTGTACCTGTAGGAATGGAGAGAGCAGAAAAATGGAAGTAGAACATAATTCTCAAGAATATGAGATTATTTTCCTTGAAAAAGTTAAATCATGTTTATTGTTTTTAAAATGAAAGACAGAAAGTAGGAGGAGAGGAGATTAAAATAACAACTGGGAAGACCTGTAGGTGTCAAGATTAAATTGGAAATATATGTCAAGGAGATTATTGCGAAGAATAAACAGTAAATCCAAGAGATTATTAATCTTTGAGAGTGCCTCTGGAGATCTTTCATCCACTTTGCATCTCATTAAAATATTAGCTTGTGGCACAACTTACACAATTAGTGATTCAGAAGAACCTCGCTTGGAAATAAATGGAAAACAATGATACATTTTATTCATAGATACGTCATAAATAGGTACAGGAGTAGTGCAGGCCAATAGGTAGGAGTACTGGTAGAATTTTGGAAGCAGAACAATTGTGAAAGTAAAAGCGAGGCAAAATGCATAGGAGACAAAGAGATCCTGAGGGGATAGCCAGGGTCTTCAAGGAGAAAATATAGCCAGGCAAAGTATCTCTGAAGGCCTCTTCAGAAAATGTTGCTTCAGGATCATCATAGTTTGGATTGGAAAAGACCTTAAAGGTTGGATAGCTCTGATCCCTCCCTTTCATGGGTAGGTAGGGGTACCCTCAAATCTCAAAGCTCTGTTCAACCCAGAGATAAACAATTCCAGGGATGGAGAATCAACAACTTCTTTGAACAACATGTTCAAGTGCCTTACCATCTTCATAGTAAAGAGTTTCTTGCTAACATCTAATCTAAATCTCCCCTCTTTTAGTTTAAAACCATTACCCTTTGTCCCATCCACTATCAGACAGTAAAAAGTCAGTCTCCCTCCTATTCATTATCTCCCTTCAAGCATCAGAAGGCTGCTATGAAGTCTCCCAGGAGCCCTCTCTTCTCCAGGCTAAAAAAGCCCACCTCCCTCAGCCTGTCTTCATAGGTGAGGTGCTCCAGACCTCTGACAATTTTTGTGACCTTCCTCTGGGGCCAACATCATGATGATCTTTTTATGTTGGGGTATGGAGTAGGGGGGAAGAATCACCTCCTTCAACCTGCTAACTGCAGTTCTTCTGATACAACCCAGGATATGGCTGGTTTTCTGAGGTGTAAAAACATGTTGCCAGTTCACATTGAGTTTTTCATCAACCCACACCCACAAGTCCATCACCTCAGAGCAGATGGTGTGCCTAAATGAGCTTGAAAACCTCTTTAAGTGAACAGCAGTTGAGTTTTAGCTAAAACAGGATGTGGTTTGACATTTACTCAAAAAGATACTTTGATAACTCATTGGCCTCTCTTACCACAGCAACATCCCAACCTCTCAGGATGAGGCATAAGGGAGCAGCTGTCAGTTCACCACATTATAGTTGAACAGAAATAGCAACGTATATGAGTCTTACGAAAGCCAATGGGGTTTTTTGTCTTGTTATCACACAATCTTGTTGTTGAAGTCTGCAGATGGCTTTTGCATGCGCAGCTGCTGTTCCTGTTGTGCAACAACCACAAAAAAACAAAGACTTGTGTTGCTGATCAGCTTTTTTTTTTAAAAAAAAAAAAAAAAAAGTGATTTCTAGGTGTCTCAGAACAACAGAACAAGATAACTTGATGAAAATTTTGATGGAAAAAGACTACAGGAGATGTTTCAATAAATGTTACTGTTCAAAATTGATTAATTCAAAAGCTATATCATGCTCCTCAAGGCTTTGTCCAGGTGAATTCTGAATATCAAGGACAGAGATTTGGCGATGATCTCTCTGAGAAACTTCCTCCAGTGCTGAAGCACCATCGAGGGGAAATATTTTTTCCTTACATCTAATGAATTTCTCTTACAGCATGTTGTTCCTACTGCCCTTTCACTGTGTCCCTCCAAAACTTCAGCTCTGTTTGTACTAAGGTCACACAGTTAGCCAACCTTTAGTCTACTCCTCTCCAAGATGAACAAAATTAACTGCCTAAGCATACCTTCTCATTCCCTGAGCATATCTTCTTTTCTAGCTCCCGGATCATTTTAGTTCAGGTGACCTCTCTTCAATTTGTTGACATTTCTCTTGTACTGGGACTGTGGCAGGGTAAGTTGGTGTACATGGAAAGCAGATATAGCTTTGAGATTTATCTTGCAAATATCACATTGTGACAGTTGACAGATAATCGTTCGCCCTACGGCACTTACAGCATAATTTAACAAAATTCAGATTGATACAAGAATAACATCAGAATGTGGATGCTGTGTCTATATTTATTTAATGGCTGCATTCTACATAGGTCGTGCTGGAAATAATGCCATCTGTTTATTTCCAAGGAAATTGCAACAAATACAAAAAGCACAATAACAATAATTCAGCTACAAAGCACTATTTTTTCAGCAAAGCCACCACCATCAGCTATGCATTTTCACTGTGATAAAAAAGAGTTTGCATGCTTTACTTATATAAATCTGCACCAGCAGAGGTGACCCAATGTTTCACAGCTGTCACAAGGATATTGTTGCTAGCATAAAGATCCCATTACAGTCCGACTTTCACTGTGTTAACATACACTGTTTGGTCTTCTTAATAGATTAATAGGTCCCTTCCAACCCAAACCAGACTAGGATTCTATGAATGTTAACAGGTGCAATTTTTTCCTAATGAAGGAATTCGGTTCCATACTGTTGCTTCATATGCAATTCCATGTCAGATATCATTTTGTCATACTGCCCCTCTGCTGCCATCTGTGACAGGGAAAAAAATATAACAGAACATAGGCAGGAAGGTTTAACCTCCTAATTTTCACTCTGATGTAGTGGAACAACATATTAAAAAAGGAAAAATTATTTTCAGAGTAGTCATTGTACATCCTTTATTTAAGCCCTTCAAAAACTACAGACTGGAAAGAGAATATTCTTATTGCTTATTTCAGGACTATTGAACTATGCAGTTGGATTTTACAATATATCACAAGACCTTTGCTTGGTGCTTTCTTGCTTGTAAAAATTTAGGAATACATCATTGAACGCTTACACCTCAACAGCAATAAACAGCATGAAGGACACAGGGAGAGGGGTACTGCTTTAGGATCCTTAACAAGAAAGACACTGATTGGTATTCGTGTGTGATTTTACATTGTGCATGTATGAAACATTCCATCAAGAAATCACACAGTAAATGAAATCACATTCTGCTTGCTCCTCCTTCTACTTTTTTTGTCTTCAAAAAACAGATGTTTAAGACTTGCTCAAAATAAAAGAGAACTTTGAGAACTTGCAAGAGGAAACGTCACAAAGGTTGCCAGAAATGTGCTCACAACTCATCCATGGATGGAAGGAGTAAACTAAATGGACAGAAATTGTCTTACAGCTTATCAAGCTGCAGCAAAGACATAGGTTTGAGGAATAAATGGATAGATGTAGCATGTATAAAACTGATGCTTCATGCAGCAGAAATCTGGACTGTGCAAGCAATTTCTGAATAAAAACACCAATTTCTGAATAAAAATATATATCAGTGCTTGATATCAGGACAACCTTTCCAGGCACAGTGAGTATCATTGTATGTCTGGATTTGATTGACAAACTTTAAGAACTGTCATGACTGATAGAGGGTGAACTGCTGATCAGAAAAGAGGAATTCAGCAATGAAACGGAACCTGCTTGACCTCTCTTGGACCAGCTCCTCAGCAGCCTATGTTTTGTGAGTAGCCACTTGACCTACACACCATGACCCTGTGCTGAAGCTACTCCCTTCTGAGGAAAGGTACTGGAGAGGAGTTTATGTACAGAAGGCATGTGACTTTGAAGTGTTGTGTTCAAATTTGAGGCACAGAAATAGGTAGCTGAATGGTTCTTCTTCACAGACATGATATCTAAACGAAAGTATTCTCGGCTTATCCGCTTAGCTTCGAATCCAGCGTGAATATCACCTTTATATTCCTGATTTGGTCCGAACGAATAATAGATTAACTGCAGCCCTTCTCCTGGCTGCTGCAGATACCAGTACATATTATTGTGATTGTCATTTTGACTGCATCCCAGGGTAGCACTCTCATCTTCTTTCAGTACCAGACTTGAGTTTTGTGTTATCTTAGCTCCTGAGAGACAAAGCAAAAGGAACACAGTTAGAAAGCAGACTACATTCTCCCCCCAGCAGAACAGGCATGATGTCTCAGCTGATGCCTTACTTGCTCCAAAGAAGGACAAGACCAAGCACCACACTGTCCACGTTCTCATTTCTGACTGAGAAAGCAGAGAGCATGCCTCGGTAAGGAACTTACTTATATAGGTCTGTTTCCATTTCCCTTAAGCCAATAGCTTAACCACCTCTGCAGCAGCAAGATCTGTGCTGAAAACCAAATTTCTTCCTGTGTGATATTTCAAGCAAACACTTGCTTTGTTTTGTTTTGTTTTGTTTTAAATGCCTTTTGAAAATGTACAGAAACTTTCAAACTGACACAGATGGAAAATACTCAGACAGGATAGCATCAAACATGGAAACTACCTTTTCATTTAATCTTGTATATTTTATTTTTACTTTCTGGTATTTTATTTCCAGAATTGAAATATTTTAGTGCAACCAGTTTAAGACTGTTGTTATTTTACTGCTTGTATGTTTTTTTTTAATACACTGAGCAGTGCCCCAGCCATTTCTGTTGCTCTACATTCCTATGGCTGTTTAATGCCATCTTCCTACAGATTCTGATGGACTTAAAGGAACAGCAAAATGTATTTTCAACATCCACTGAATATTTTGAGTACAGTATAGGAAAAAACAGCTATTTTATGTGCAGATTAAATACATATGCTACAATTACCAGAGATGGCAACCATGATCTTGTTCATGGATTGCTTTATAAGGACCCATTAGCAGCCTGGGCACACACTAAAAATGAAAGAAATTTAGGTTGTTCTTGAAGAAAACATCTGACAACTTCTTTTCCTTTAGTTGTCTTAGCATTATCAGTACTCTCTATAAGCCTAACTCCTATGACTGTTGCACAGCGGCCTCTAACACAGTCTTTTAACGTGGTTTAAGAAGACCAATCACAGTCTAATCTTGGTATTTTGGATGCATAGTGGAGTAATCACAGCAGTCCTATTTGCCATCTACGGCTGTAAAATGAGGCCCCAGAGACTAATGCCATAATTAAATATCCTAACATTGAACCTTTTTTTTTTTTTTTTTTGTGAAAGGATACCATCTGGTGGAATTAATGGAAGTTCACAGTGATTCTTTTAAGCCACTTTTTCCTATTTTAGCATGGGCAGAACTACATGGAAAAGGAGCAGGGACTATTACACCAGACAGAAGCATCTTTAAACTTGCCACTATGAAATTTTGAAAGTCTGGACTCAAAAATACAAAAGTTCTTCTTCTCCATAGGATAAACCTCAGAGCTGATACTAAGAATCTGATTTCACAATGCCACAGTAGCACAGATGAGGGTGCTAGTGTGTGAAATAGCTGATGAGGTACCTGTCTTGTGGGGGGAGATATGCTGTAAAAGCATCCTAAGGTCAAGATATCTAGCCTGGAAAGAGAAATCTCTTTGTACTCAGAACGTTGGTCTGAGTTTATGTGGGTCGGGAGCTAGAGTGGTGATTTGCAGAAATGTAACAGGTGAAATCCAAGGAGAATATCTAAATTCAAATACCACATTGTCATTCTTTCAAGCCACATTCTGAATCCAGATAACTTAACTCTCTAGGATGCTTTGTGTTGTAAGATACCCCAAAGAGACTAATGGCAAATGTTTTCCTGCTCTATAAAAAAAATAGAAAAACTTAGAGTCTTGTCCTTTTACGTAAGACAGACTCTACATAGCAGTAATACTTAAGTATTTAATAGAGAGTAAAAGAATTTTGAGAAAAATCTGATTCACAGTATCCTGTCACATAACAGCAGGTGAATAAAGTGAACAAAGGGAAGAAACAAACCTAATTCACTAATTCTGCAGTGAGCATTTTTACTTCTAAGCCTTTAAGCATAAGTGTGGACTTTTGGAAGGAGAGACCTCATCACCTAAGACTGGCAGAGTTTGTAGGGTGCTGAACCTCTTATGTACCCCCAAGAAACAAGACATCTACATGACAAATACAGCCAGTCTTAATACACAAAACTGCCTACCATTTTCAAGGCTTAGACTGTTCTGAGCATGGATATTGTCAAAAAAATATTTGTCAGGATCTTCTTACCAGACTTAGGGAAATACGTCACGAAATAAGGATCAGGAAATCATCCATTTTAAGTAATCATTTTTTGTTTTTATTGCAAGCATGTTTTCATCTCTATTTCAGGTGAAATCTACTCTTTTCAACTGAGGTAGCACCAAGAGTGTCTCACAATTGACGTTTGAACATTAACCTGCTCTACATGTGGAAAGAGAGGCATTAGAAAAGCATCTAGGCGGAGAGGTGAATAAAGACCTTCCTGTGCATTGATTTCATGAGTCTTCAAGTATGAAGTGCTTTCTTATAGTGATATAAGTGTATTACTATGAGCCATTCTGAGACACAGTTGAAGTGCTTCTGACACTAAAATCCCTAATGAGCTTAGAAATAGTGCATTGTTCAGAAGAGTCATAGAAGTACAGCAATGAGCGGTTGTGAACTTTCACACAATCTTGCTATTAGTAGTAGAGGTTTTAGGTCTTCAGCATTTTTAGTCAGGCCCACTCACAAAGGTATTTCACTGAGGCTTCTTCCAAACTAAAAAGGTTGAATGCAAATAGTTGGTAGCACAAACACGACAGGAAAAGAGTAGTGTAGCTTCCTAAGCCTGAGGTAGTGTTTATCTCAGGCATGTCGGATATAATAAGTAAGAGTATTCAGATTTTGCCAACTAAATGTAATTATATTTTAATAAGTGACTGTGAATTTCAATAAATCTAATATTAAAATTATGTAGATTTCCTTTAATATATAACTACATATACCTGTCTACATACAAATACAAGCATAAATGTACGCTCAAATAAGAGATATATACATTATTTTATTAAAAGGGAATAGACAAATTAACACATACTATCATCATACATTTTTATACTGTTTTTTACCTTATGAAGCAAAATCACATTCTTAGCACAGTGCCAAATAACTGAAGTCCAAATCAGTGATACATATATAGGGGCATGACTCATTCACTTTAAGGCTCCTTCACAGCTTAGATAGGTTTGATCTGTCCTTCACCCACTAGTGATGCAAGGTTTCAAAGTTCTTTCCATTCCTATGAAGTAGAGACAATTAATTTCCATTTATTCCAGAACATGCACTGTTTATGTTCAGTGATGACATCTAAATTTTGTACAATCCTTGATGCATCCCATAATAAGTCTCACACCCATTTAGGCCATAACATTCTGTCTACAAAGTGATCCAAAGAACCTATTTATTCATCTGAATGCCTTTCATTTCTGGACAATTGTTTAACCACTCCCTTTTAAGGAGCAGCCAAATGAGATCGCTCTGATCTGCAATAAGGTTTACTGTGTTTCCCCATGTTTCATTGTTCCTCTGCAATATGTGTTTGTGGAGATGAGCCTTTAATCACTATCATAAGAGCATCTATATAAACAAATAAAATCAAAACTTACATTTATAGATTGGGATATTTTGTGTATTCTGTTATGCTGGTGTGGAAATGAAAATGCTTTGCAAAGAATGAGTTTTATATCTTTGTTATCTATTCACAGATTAACCTAAAGACACAGTTCAGTGTTACAGTGACCTCTATCAAACCTTGCACCATCACTGAATATGATATTTGCGCCATTCCCCCAGTAGCATTCTCTTACATTGAAATAATCAGAATGCTACTTGGCTATACAAAGAGGCAGAACAATTCATTAACAATAGAAAACTGACACACACAAACACAGCAAAGTTACTTGTTACCCATACCAGTAGCACAGCAATTTGACAGATCAGTACAACGGGAAATGGTGTTCCACCAGAAGTGTGATGACAAAGGATTGGCACAATAGAAAGGTGCTATAAAGGAAGGGAAAAAAACGCTTACATCAGAAGATACCAGGTTTGCAGGAAAAAAACTCTACCATGAAAGGGTCTCTTTCTAAATGTGTTTCACATGTGTTCTCAGGGCTGACCTGGTCTTATCCCCAGGTTCTCAATCAGTGGTTCAGGCCATGACTCAACAGTTCCCATACAAGTAGGAAGATGATCTGGGTCAGTCAGTAGCCCACTAATCATTAGGAATGAGACAAAGGAAGAGTGGGAATTTGTGATTGAAAGTGGTAGGAAAAAGGGTTCACTCCATTTGATGACACCTTCTCTGAAGTCTGTCCAGTTCTGCCATGAAACTATATTTTCAGTTCCTCGTGTGTTAGAATCACTATAGCTTGGAATGCAAGACACACAGTGTACACAGAATTTCACATTCTCCAATTATAAAACTTCAGGTATTCTTCCCTGTTCTTAGCATGGGTGATGTGGCTCCCATTCTCCTGGTCTTTCTCCTTCCCAACTTCATGAGACATCCAAACAGAAAGTGAAGGAAAAGTTACATTTAGTCTACTTGTAATACTACAGATTGATTCAGTAAAAATATCCACATGTCTTTCACTTAAGCAATACCTAACATTCAGAAAATACTGATTTCAAGCATGTTTGCTATCACTGAAGTCAATGATAACTTCCATTGCAGTGGAAGCAATGGAAGCTTAATTCTTGTGTAAGTAAAGAAGTATGACACTATTCCCTCATCCAAGTCACTAATGAATATATTGAAGTGTACTGCTCCCTGTACCAACCCCTGAAGGACTCCACTAGATACAGGCCTCCAACTAGACTCTCTCCCATTGATCACAACTCTCTGGCTTCTTTCTTTCAGCCAGTTCACAGTCCACCTCATTACCCCATTGTCCAGACCGCAATTTCTCTGTTTAGCTGCAAGGATGCTGTGGGAGACAGTATCACTTGCTTTACTAAAATCAAGATAGACCACATCCACTGCTTTAACATCATCTATCCACATGATTACATCTTCATAAAAGGCTATCAGGTTTTCAAGCATGACTTCCCTTTGGTGAAGTAATGTTGACTGCCCCTAATGACCCTCTTATCCTTGATATGCTTAGAAGTAAGTTGTTTCATCACCTTTCCAGGGATGGAGGTGGGACTGACCAGCCTGTATTACCTGGGTCCTCCTTGTTGCCCTTTTTGAAGACTGGAGTGACGTTTGCTTTTCTCCAGTCCTCAGGCACCTCTTCTGTTCCCTACAACTCACAAAAGATAATGGACAATGGCCTAGAAATGACTTCCAACAGTTCCT